TTAAAGCAGTTCATACAATACACATACATAGTTACGTATATAAATGGATATAAATATATATAAAAGAGCTTATCAGTGGCTCTGTTCCGGTCCATAAAGTAAACACTATTATGATTCTGATCTACACCTAACTACATAACTAACACACTCTGCAAAATTTTCACAGTGCTCCATACTGTTTTTTTTCATAATGTAAAATGACAACAAACAATTACAATACTAGTAAGACTCACCCCCCCCCCCAACATTTACGTTATGTTATTATTATACTCAAAAAAGATTGCGCAAACCACAAATGATTTGAACATGTCTTTAACTGTTTTATATACTCTATACATTCTATTTTTTTGTTTAACGTTGCAATGCATTCATAAATAAAAGAAACCTTAGCAAGGTCTCCACAGAAAAAATGAATTTACAGATTTCGCAATACACTTACACGTTTATCTATGAGTGTCATGAAATATCCCTATCCTGTGTTTTTTTTATCCTTCTACTAAAATGCAAGATTTAAAAAAAAAAATTATGCACCTTTTTATCATTCAAATATATTACTATATGCATGAATATTTTAAATTATACTTATCATTGAAATTTACTAAAGAATTAATACAAAATAATAAACTGCTATATTTATTGTACACCATTGCAGGTACATGTGGTTATGATTCATCGTAATGAACTTCCATACTCCCCCTTTTCCACAGTGCAAAAAAATAAAAAAAAAAACACAAACCACTAGACTCCAAACATCTTAAAACTATTCAATGAACTTTTAAAATACTAACAACTATTACACTTTATGACGATATATAATAATAACACAACTGTACTATAGTGAACAATGTCAACTTAATATGTTACTGTACATGGATATGGAAATTACTCACTTGTATTACATTATACCAAGAATGTTATATTTATTAAAACACGTATTGTCATGTTCAACAAATTTTAGATGTTTATTGACATTGTTACAGAGCATTTTAGACTTGCTCTTTCACAACTATGGTTGATAATACAAACATTATAGCCCCTAATCGAATTGATAAGCCCCTCTCGCTTCTCAGGAAAACATTGCTTATAATCATGATATTCTTTATCCATGTAATTCATTTTCCCTCCCCCCTTTTACAGAGACAAGTCCACCCAGCCATGTCAACACTAAAATCGGCTCAACCCTCTCACAGTCTTACCTCTATACGATACCGGAAAATCTATAGCCCATCTACGTCCATACACTACTCCATCTGATACACTTTGTTTTTTAGAAATGTCTGCTAAAGCCCTTGTTCGTTCCTCCCCCCCACCACCCCCTCATCGCCCACGATATATAGACATTATCTGCCATAAATACATGACGGCCTCCTACCATATCTCCCACTCCCTTTTATCCAAACTCAGTGCCCTTAATACCACTAAACTACTCCCACCCACCATATCCAACACTCTGCGGGAAACATAGACGTGCCCTCCTCGATATGCTCACAGAAAATTACTACCACATGGATATGCATGTTTCCTTCCCCCACACAAACACAACATTGAGTCTGACTAATTCCATGCTGATACAGCCGTCTTTAGTGGCATAATAATCCCATGTAAAAAACCTATACATAGTTTCCCTCACCCTTGACTTCACCCGTAACTTACTGAAGTCTCCCCAGATTCGTGTCCAATTTATAATTGAAAAAATCAGTCTCCTCTTTCAAACACCTTCGACACATTACCAACCTCCCAAAATACACACGCCGTTACTTTTCGGATTTCTTGCTTGTAATAAGTATTTCAACATATTACACTCCTCTAAGTCCCTACCCCCCCGCCACGCCTCACATCTTCATCACAATCTTCGCTCTGACACCACGTTCCCCACCCAATCTCAGTTAACTATGCTTCGCGTACATGCTCTTCAGTCTGCTTCCCAAAGGAATTAAACCTAAACCCCCCTTAGCCTTCGGTGTCATTACACGTCTGTCTCAGCCCTAGTGGACACTCTTATCCCCATATAAATATTCAGTATTTCCTTTGGCACTTGCCGCAGTCTTTCGCCCCAGGGGTACACCACAGCCACGTGCCACAATTTAGGATAAAATGGTGTATTAACTACAATGAACTCTGTTGTATAGTCAAACCACTCGGTCTTTTTTCCCCTAACCTACGCATACTCTTTGCACTACCCTTTTTGAATTTGCCTTCTCTAGCCCCCTGCGCTGCCCCTCTGTACAATACTCCAAAAAATTTTTATCTGCTCTTACTACCTGCCATCCATACTTATTTCCCAGTTCCCCTCCCACCCATGACCCAACCTCCAGTAATTTCGACTTTTCACTATTAACACTCATACCTGGGTGGACGGTGGCCTGGTGGCTAAAAGCTCCAGCTTCACACACGGAGGGCCGGGTTTCGATTCCCGGCGGGTGGTAACATTCGACACGTTTCCTTAACTGGTTGTCCTGTTCACCTAGCAGCAAATAGGTACTGGGTGTTAGTCGACTGGTGTGGGTCGCATCCTGGGGGACAAGTTAAGGACCCCATGGAAATAAGTTAGACAGTCCTCGATGACGCACTGTCTATCTTGGGTTATCCTGGGTGGATAACCCTCCGGGGTTAACAAATCGAACGAATCTTATCTACCTGTTGCTCCACTAAATATTTCAACAATTCTACTACATTCTTTAACCCCTTCTCTCCCCCACTAAGACTGTAGGTCGCCACATAACCAACTATACCGTAGCACCTACGTCTTACTCCCTCACTTACTCCCTTCAATTATCAACCTAGAATAATGGGGTCTTGCATACATGCAAATAGATTCTGAGACATGGGCATCCCTGCCTCAGCCCCCTACCCATACTAACCTTCTTCCCCACCCTTACGTTTATTTGCCCACTCGTATTTATGCACCTCTATATTAAATGTTTCCGCCCACTGCACAATTTTCTCACCGAAACCATCCTCCTCATAATATCCATAATGTCTCTCTACACAATCTTAAAGCGCCTGTCATATCCAAAGCAGAACACCTCCACCATCCTTCCTTCGCTCCTCTATATATCCTTTTATCCTCCATTCCCACTAAACATTGTTCTCCTGGCACCACCCATGTGTCCCCATCTATAAACTTCCCGATTCATGACACAAATCTATTTACCTAACACCCTGGCAAACAATTGATAATCCCACACATTAATGATCAACCCTCTGATAATCTAGGGATGTTTTCTGTAATTCCCCCTTTGGAACCATAACTACTACACCTATCCTTTGTGTAGTGACTCAGCTTCCCATATCCTTCATTACATTCACCAAATGCACCAAGCAGAATTCCTTCATGACTTCCCAGTTGCTCAAATTAAATTCATTTGGGATTCCCATCTATCAAGGTGCTTTCCCGCATCATCCCTTTTAAAAGGCCGTCCACACTTCCTCTTTCATCTATAGGCCTTTCTATCATCGCTCTATCTGCTGCTTAGGTTTCTCTGTATCCCCTTCTCTAAAATCTTTCATATTACTATCTTCCTGTTTCCCCCTCTCATATTTATATCTCAAACCACTTTTCAGCGTAACCACTCATACTTTCCGTAGTTACTAACCTCTGTCCCTTCGTATACCCTCCCACATCCGTATGTACGTCCAACTTCATCATAGTCATTGTCTTCTGTCGCGTTTTTAATCGCCGCAATACACAGGCGAAGGGGCTTATCTCCCCATAAAACATCTTCCAATCCACCTCTCATTCTCTCACCATCAAATCTTGCATTCTGCATTTCCATTAATTGCGCTTTGATGCCCTCAATCTTTGTACTGGATAAACCCACTAAAACCTTCATAGCACTGTTTCAGCTGCCCTCCAAATATCTCTGTAAGCCATATTTCCCTTGACTTACCTCCTTTCCTTTCCTCATATAAAAAATTTTTGATTCCTGGTTTGGCATATTCCTCCCACCATCGTAGTATATCACCTCCTTTTCTCCCCTTGGTCCACTCATTTGTCCACCACTCAACAAAACTATCACCGTCCTCCAGCTCATCTAACAATCTCACATTAAGTTTCCAATAACTCATGTAACGCTTTGGTAAACCTCCCCATCCCACATCCACGACCACTCCTCTATGATCTGAAAACACTACATTTATAGTTTCTGTAGTAGCCACCTGTAACCCGGGAGAAGCATAAATACGATCTAGTCGTGCCGCATATCCTCTCCTCACATAAGTATGCTCCACGTTCCACCCCTCCCCCCTCACTACATCCGCGAAGCCAGCTCCCCCTAAAACATCCCGTAGGACCCCCAAAACACACCCTGCACCCCTCGGCTCCACATCTTTTCTACGTATCACACTATTCCAATCCCCTCCAAATAATGAATAAACAGGTAAACCCCGCATATGATAAATTAGTGTGTCCCTTACAAATTCCTCTTTAACACGTCTATTACTGTCCGCCGGCATGTATACACTCACAAAACACACACGTACCCCACCCCATGTCCCATCCACCCTCGCTACTCTCCCATCTCCCCCTTCTTCCCAATGTAACAATTGGAAAGGACTGGTCTCAGCTATTAAAACAGCAGCACCTCCCTTAAGCTTCCCAGTATACCCAGCATAAACTTTATATCCATCTACCAACAAATCCCTTCCATACCTAAAATTATGCTCTTGTAAAAATATTACTTGTATGCCAAGTCTCTTTAAAAAATCACTAAATATCTTACGCTTTACATCAGCCCTTAGGCCGTTAACATTTAAAGTTAGACACTTAAAAATGCTATCGGGGGCTTACCAATCGACCGATATCCTTGCGTTTCCTTACGTTTTTGCTGAACATTCTTTTCACATTGTCCTTTCTTTGCCTCACCTTTCCTCTGCCCCTTTCCCCCCCCCTGTTACTTTTTTTTGCACATCCACTGATAGTTTCTTACCAGTTCGTTGCGCTGGTGTGAGGACATCATCACTATCAGAAGCCCCTGCCTCTCTCTTACGTGATGCCTCTACTATGTGCATTCCCTCATCTCACATTCTAACGTTGTGTACTTCAACCACAACCTCACTAATCCTCTTTGATTGCATATCCCCATCACCCACATTACCACCTCTTGAATTCCTTCCTCACCTATAAGTTTCCCATCTGACACCATGCTTAGTGTCCCGTCCTCATTCTGATTACCCAAGAATTCTTGAATAACAGTGTCTATTGTAGCCGTAACCTGACTACCCAATTCCACTCGTCTCACCTCATCCTCCATACGCATATTCTCAATAACCTGAGAGACCTCCGGTAATGTTACACATTCTTCCGGATTGTCCTCCACGATTTTACTCCATGTTCTATGATCTTGAAGATGCTCCCCTGTAGACTGGGTCGTCACCTCTCTCTCCTTCCCCACTCCTTTCCCCTCTCCATATTTCTCAGGTGTCGATCGACGAGGACACATTGCTGCCATATGATCAAAGGCTCCACACAGTCTACAGGTTCGTCTTTGCCCCGCATATGTTACATATACCTGTATTCTAAAGTCACTCAGTGTCACATATGATGGTATAGATTTGCGCAAAGACTTTTGAGGGTAAAGGAGCCCTCACGCAGTCCAGCATACATATCATCAGACCACCTTCCAACTGATGCCTGATGTATAACACCATACTCATTGAATGTTGCTTTTATATCTTCTTCATCGCTTCAAATGGGACATTCCGAACTTTACCCAAGTATAATACTTGGATACGTCCCTCATTCGTACTTTCCCAAACCAGGTTAAC